TTGCATGCTTTGCAGCAGCTGAAATGGTGAGCACAATTTGTACATACAGTTTTTATGTCAAGCTGGGCAACAGCCATAGTCCGGTGTGTTTGAGGGGCAGTACATATTCTGGACCCAACTCTGCACAATCCAAATTTGCCATTGCATCACAGGCAAAATGCTTGCGATCGAAATTCAATCTTGTGTATGAGAAGTGCAACATTTCCAACTCACCGCCCATTTGAAACACCCCTGCATTGTTGATGAGCACATGCACAGCCTTCCCAGATGCCTTCCAGCTTTCCACAAAGCTCCTTACAGAGTCAGGGTTGGCAATGTCCAGCTGCATCACCTCAACACTTGGACCATTCTCACCCTTGCTTGCATGACCTTCACCCTCACCCTTGAGCTTTTTGGCATTACTAAGCAAAGCCTGCCTCAACTCGTTCCCTCTCTCAGGGTTTCTACAAGCCAAAACCACTGCCACCGCACACAAGAAAATCTTGATATCATTTGGCAATCTGGTACATTATGACAGCGTACCGCCTGGATCTGCTCTTGTTCCCCTCAAGGCTTCTCCAACAACTGCTGTAGTTTGGAATGTACAATGAATGTACGTATCACAGCAAAGTGAAAAGTGGTACACAGCAGTCCAATGCATAAGTGCAGCAATTGCATAAACAACAGAAAAGCATCTCCACAGAAGTTGTTGCTCAGGAATGGGTTGGCCCATTGTACGACTGCTCCTTCTGGCAAGTTGCTGATCTTGGCCTGCTGCATCAACATGCTTCGGCAAACAACTGGCTGGGGTGTGGCATCAACTCTCTGGAAGTCACAGCCATCGCACAAAGTAGGCCAGACTCCCCAGGCCATAAGTGTATTTCCCTACACCCAGTCGTTTAATTGGCATTCAGAATGTTATTCGTTACACCCATCCAGTCCCTCCATTTGAACAGGAGATTGCAACGCTGATCTGCAAACACCCCGGCTCACCATTGGCGCCTTTCCGCACCAGCGCCCCAGCTGTCGATTTCCCGATCCCACTGCATTGCCCAAAGAGGCCCAGTTAAAACTGACGGCGCCCCGAAGGGCGGTCGACTGTGCAGGGCTGGGATTTCAGCCACCAAAATGGCCGCAATGCTTGCCGGGCGCAGCCAGCCGAACCCCCCTGGACTGCCCATCGGAAGCTGGCGGGGGGCACAAGGCGGATGCCCGTGGCCAGCGGACCTCGATTCTTCTGCGTTACCTGGTGGGACCTGTGATGATAACCGTGCGGCCCTCCAGCGAATCTCCGATGTCGTCGAGCGGGGGCACTCCCCGAACAAGGAGCCTCTGAAACGCAACGGTCAAGGGACACGGTTAGACGGCAGGACGTCGGCTTAGCACCGAACGCTGCGACGCCAAGAGGGGGGCGCAGCCCACCTGCCCGAATATGCCCAGCAAGAACTCTGCCCAGGCGGCCAGCAACTCCCAGGTCGTCATTGTGGGTGGGGACTCTCCGGCGCCCATGATGCGATGTCGCCTGCGCGTCACTGCAGGCTGGGGGTGCTTTTGTAGGGAAGTGCTGGCGTCCTTCCGCTCAGATGGCCGCCCATTTAATACCATTAATAACTAGCCAGTTTGCATTAATTGTTGGTTAATTTCCAGTAATAGTTAGTTGGTTTCCATTCATAGTTAGTGTCCCTGCGCCCCGAAACAAAACCAATGCAAGAAACTGCAGCTTCAGCAAGGTACCCTGGCATGATCATCAAGTACTGTTGTTGATCATTCATGACAACAGCCGTTTTCATCGAATCAATGAATGCACAGTGTGCTCTGGCCACTGTTCTGCTGTGACAGGCTGGGACTGGTTGAGTGCTTCGGTGACTTCTAGGGACTATCAGATGCGCATCCGCTATTTTCACATGTTCGACAAAGCCTTGCGTGTTCATCAACGCTTGCTTGACATTGCTTTCCTTGTGCCTTGGCTCCCAACTCGGGGATTCAACAGGACAATGCATGGGTGTGCTGAACACGCAGAGCGTGAACCAGAGACTATGGCAAGCATGTTCTTCAACCAGACGATTTTGCTGTCGCACAGCCAGTGCCTTCAGGGTAGCATTGATGCAAGTGCTTCGTTTGGGAATCCCAAACCTACCTTACATATAATATAGAATACAACTATATATCTTGTATATAATACAGGACACTATTACCTACCTTGTATGTATGAATCAGCGCTTCATCAATTGGCCCAAAACTTCCTGGGCAAAACAATGGATTGTGCAGTCCATACACATGCGTTTTCGAGGGACAGTGGTGACCACAGCTAAAGGACGCTCAATCTTTGTTCTGTGGTTAGCACAGGCTCCGGACACATCAGCGTTTCACATCCATGCCATCTGATGGCTACGCGAATGCAGATGGCCGTTTTGGCAATCGCTACTGCATAGGCAGCAGGCAGGACCCATACAGGACTGGCATCCATGCAACGCTTTGGCGCAATCAGAATACATCAAGAGGCCTTGGTGATATTGGCTGTCATCGTGCCAGCCATCCAATCAGCAGCATTCCCAGAAATAATATGCAACTTACATGAACAGGGATACAAGAACAATGGCGCTCAACTGCAAGTCTGTAAACGTGTAACAATCCCCAAAATAGAAAATCACAGAACATCCCATGCTCATTATTGAACAACCCTATAGAAAGATCTCATCTTGCTTGACTTTGAGATCCTCACCAAAATCTTCCTCAGGTCCCTCAGATCTCGCTTCCCTTTTAGCAGCCCAAAAGGCTTGGCAATGTAGTTCAGATCCTGCTCTGTGAAAGCCAGCACCCTTTTTTGCTTGGATATCTCATCTGCTATACGTGTCAGGGGAACGTGATCACAATAGCACATAGCAGCCCAGGCCTTGTGCCAACGTGAATGCCTTCAATCTCTGTGTCGATGTGACTTCTGATATCAAGGGGTCAAAGAACTCAGGACTTTTATAGTTCAACAACCCAGCACCCCACACAACATCGCACAAGGCTGGCTCGGTGAAAGACGACAGCCGCTCTTTCCACCTCTGATCAGGACGGGTTAGGACGGGACGTTGGCGGACGGGCAGCCATGCCCTCCCGCTACGCCACTTCCCGTCTAAAAGGGCTGTCAACAGTTCAGACACCCCAAAGAACACACCATAGGGCTTCATAATCTCTTTCTTAATGGCGGCGTTCCCCAGTCGACCCAGTGAGTACATCGTCAGCGACAGATCTACCTCATCAAACTCCTTAACAAACTCTTCTGCAACTATTCTCCTGCCCATCGCCTCCAGAAACTCCAGAGATATGTGCTCCAATTTGGCCAATGAGTGAAAAACTGACGAGCAATCCTTTGCCCGCCACAACCCAACGACCTCCATAGCCTTGTTGCAAACTTTGTGCAGGTCAGCATGCATGTCGTCAGCTGGGGGCCGCCTCTCAGACATGCTGAATCTCTTGAACAACTTGCAAAACTCAACAGTATCACCACTCTTCATGTCATTGAATCGCTCCATCAGGTGCTCCCAGCGAGGCTTCCCTCCCTCGTATGGCCCCATTCTGCGTGTGTCCCATTGCCTGCTACATGGCTTGTCCGTTTGGGTTGCCATGAACTTGCACATTCGAGGCACCTGGGCACATAGACAGTGTTTGAATCTCAGCCGATCAACACCTCATTTCTGCTCACCAGTTATCCACATGAAACGTTCGCCACTGCGACTACCCATGAAACAGCTGTGGAAGCCAGAATGACAACATCCCCTTGAACTGAACATATTCGCTTGCAATCGCTGCATCAAGCAACCAACTTCACACAATGTGTTGTTGTTCAGGCCACCCCTTCCAAGTGGCAAACACAAGGATTTGGCCAAATAGCCATCGCTCCAGCCAGGTGGCTGGGAGTCTCTGTCCAGGGTGCAAGGCAAGGCTGCCAGCTCCAGCAGCACACGTCACTGTCACAAAAACAAGTGTTTTGGGGTCCCACAATGCAGTGGCTGACACTCTCAGGATCATTTCTGTTCAGACTTTCAAGTCATTTCCTGAAAATTTCTCACTTCTGCTCTTGTGAGCCCCACGGGGTCTGTTTTGCAGCTGGACAAGCTGCCTTGGGTTTAGTTCCCTCTTATTGCACTCATTGGCTTCTCCATATTCATTTGTGGATTGGAAAACAATCTCACAATGACTTTGCTCAGGGAGGGCAGTCGCCATGGCATTACCTGTTGCCTTTCCTGAACTGAACCTTTGGTTGCCGAGAATAAAGTTCTCAAAAGATTATCAGCAAACATTTGCCACACCTGCACCATTCCACCCCCTGTAGCACAGATCTTCAAGAAAGCAAGCAGACCTGCAGTTCGCAGTGTATGGGATCACCTACCATTGACAGCACGATTGATGCTGGTGGTGTGGCCCAATATAGCCTGATGCACAGCAAGGACGGTGCTTTGACCAAAGGAACTCGCAGTCTGTGCCATGCTCACAATACAACTCTGCACAAGGTGATCACAATTGGAGATTTGTAGTGAAACTTACCTGCAAGGGCGCCATTCTGGACTCCAAGGTACCAAGAGCCCAGACTCCCAACAAAACAGTCTTCATTGTGCACTTTGACACATATTTCTGAAACTCTTGGGCCTTCGTATTAACACAGCCAATTGTTTGGGGCCTCTTCCCATCACGTCCCTTGCAGCAGGAAAGAAAGGTTGATCGCGATGCTTGCACATTCGGACGTGAGTTTGAGAGTGTTATCAACCATTGCCTGCGAATGCAGCTGAATCGGCTGCACAAAATTGACACGGAACTGTCCATTGGTTTGGCAGCAGCAGGCTGCGGGCTTGTGCCACTCACCCCCAACGACGGGTTGGGCAGCTGGTTCTCTCAACAACCAGGTGGGATGGCTGCAGCAAAGTGTTCCGCATGGCAAAATTCGATCCCCTATGGCTGCAGTTGCCTTCACAAAGAAAGACACAAGCCTTGCACCTTGAGGGAGACAAAACACATCTACTCATTGAAGCTGTGTGCTTGTTCCCCACGTGTCCTCATCAGGCAAGGGCCGTGCTGTGCAGTGTTCAGCAATTGGAAACGCATCACGTAGCCAACGGTGGTCGATAGCAGCATGCGCTCCCATGAAGCTTCCCACAAGATCAGTGCAGTAACTTGCCAGTACTTTAGCGAAAGCACAGCACCGGGCACTTCGCATCTATGGCTGACGCACTCCACGGCTGCTGTCCGTTTCTCCACGCTGCCATCGAGTCGCTCACCTTTAACAGGCCCTGTCGTGTTGTGCCATTCAAGCTCGCCGATGTGTGACCGAGGCACAACCTTTGCTGGCGCCTGCCAGCAGCTGCCCTTCCCAGAAGGATGGAGGTTGACGCTGGGTGCGTGCCTCGCTGAAGCGACCATGCATGAGCCAAGAAACAGCGTTGTCGGCGGATGGCTGTCAGCTCCCTGGATAAGAAGGGGGCTCCTAAGGCCCCCTCCCCAGTCCCCACCACCGAAATTTCGGTTTCAGCGCCCCTTTGGCATTAGCATGTTTTTTGGTGCATTGCTTGTCATTTTTAATATCGCATTCTTTGATACATAATTTGTTTCCAGTATGGAAATTCCGTATTCATTCTTGATCCCGTTGATAGGACGATAGGACACCATCCCTACTTCCAGGTGCTGATGCACCATGATGATGATGCAGCGAGTCCAGGGAACCTCTTCCGAGCACCAGTTTGCACCCTTCAGGAGGCAGTGTAGTATCGATGACAGTGTGACGAAATAGGTTTGAAAACTGCAAAGTGAATACATGAACAAATGGATGGGAGAGGAACAGGTGCCCAGCAATACCCCAGTCGGGGTGCTGTCCCAAGCACGCTGCCCTCGTGTGCTGTGATGCGTTCTGGAGAGAGACAATCTGTTGAATCGTTCAACATGAATTTTGTTGTTAATTAGAGCGAAGTTCTGCTCTTGCACTTTTTGGGCCATGGATAACGATGGCATTTTGTTGAAAGCCCAAGAAAGGACCATTCTGGCTTTGTTTGAAATAGCATGTGTCGCTGGATGGCTGTGAATTCCATGGATTATATTGTCGGAGGATCTATGACAAACGGAGGCCATTGCACCTTGCAGTTGATGACGGTGGTGGCCGGTATCGGCCTGGTATGTTTGATTTGCACAGGAGGTTGTACCTTCAGAGGATCATGACAGCGCATGCTGTTGTGCATGATATTCAGCATAGACTAGCCCGCAGAAGGAACCCCATGGCATGCAGTGTGGCTGCTCCATACTTGTGGAACTCAGTGGATTGCACATTTAGATAGCCGTAGCCAACAAACCCCGTTTCACTCTGCCGCCAATGATGGGCAGAGGGACAGGCACAGAAAGATCCATGCAGAGATCGTTCAACAACCCAATATATTGTCATGGACACCGCTCAGTTGCATTTAATACAAGCGTTCTGTATAACACAAACCGCGAAATTTGGCGGCGCACAA